TACTGGCTGATGGGCTGTTCAACTTAGCATTACAGTAATGGTTTCTATTTTAAGTCACTCGCTGTCTTAAATTTAGCCGTGTCGGACTGATTGCTTCTGTTCATCTGCCTGGTTGAAATGGAGCAATCGATACCCAATTGGTCACGGAGACTCATCATCGAATCGATGGACGTATTGACGCCAGCGCAACACGGCTTTACGAAAGGGCGATCCTGCATCACCAACTTGATGTACGCAAACCACCAGTGGGTGCGAGCTCTCAACGAACAGAAGGATGTTGACGTGGTGTACATCGATTTTAGTAAGGCGTTTGACAGAATGAACCACGAGGTACTCCTTGGTAAACTGAGCACATACAGAATCGATGACACGTTACTTCAGTGGTTACACGAGTTTATTGTGGGACGAAAGTTTAGAGTACAGGTCAATGACTACCTGTGAGACTGGTTCCCATCGACTAGTGGCGTGCCTCAAGGAACTGTACTTGGGCCAGTATTATTTCTTATTCATACCAACGATCTTCCGCAGCAGCTCCAGTCACCATGTGCCCTGTTTGCTGATGATTTGAAAATCTGGAGGATCATTGTGAACCAGGACGACTGCACTCGCCTCCAGAATGACTTAGAGCGACTGCCAACGTGGTCCACTGAAATGCAACTTCCTCTTAACGCATGCAAGTCGGAGTTCATCAGTATCTCCAGACGTCCAGCCACTCGATCATACACCTTGGACTGCCAGTTGCTCCATCCCAACACATCTGTCAGAGACTAAGGAGTTCTCTCGCAACATGTTATAAGATCACTAGAAAATACAGAGAAATTGTACCGTGCGGGACTTCGTATGCCCTGGGCATTAAGACGCAGTTTCTCTGCATGGTCCGAAGAAACCGTCCATCGTCCATTCACCTCGCTCATATTCGTTGGTCCAGTCACGGGCTTCGCATACCTTCAAGCTTGTTTTCCAGGCGTGTGTTGTCTTCCAAGAACACGCCCAATCAGGTGATGGCCTGCGATTGCCAGTTCGCGACATGGCAAAACATTTTGACAATATTCGGCAAACTGTTTAGTTACTTTAGCACTTATCTTCCTTATGACAGACGTCCGTCGCATATCAACCACATTAGTCTTTGTACGCTAGCGAGTTAATGTCGCCCTCACTTTAATTCTGAACATTAACAGTCAGATCGCTGACTGCGTTATCTACAGTCATCACGTCTTTACGGATCTCGTTTTACCTAGCAATACTTGTTTATTGCAGATACTTTATAGATCTCCAAAATTAGATGTAATGTGAACTGCTATGAGCGGAGTTGTCGACAGCTTTTCGAATCTAATCGTTACCATCTAGCTGATCCTGTTCTTTTCGCACTCCAGCTGCGACAGTCTGGTGCCAGTTGTGCACTTCTTGTGTGTCGACTTTCTATTTTCTTCATCCTCATCCAGTTGGACGAGATCCCAAGGTCGATGACTTTCAGCTAAACGCTGGGAAACATAATGCTTGCGTTGACCACATGAACAGTTAAATGTCCTGATGAATACTACGCGGTCACCAACTCAGTGGGAGATCGAATATCAGGCTCATCTGTCCAACCGATGTCGTATGATGTCTCTGGCCATTGAATTGACGACTGGTTTCGGGGTGTGCATGCCTCAACGCTTCTATGAGTATTGCTTACTTATACTGCATCTTTGAAATGCGGTGTCATTGTCACTGTTTCTGCTGCCCCTACTTTAATGTGCCCATGCTTTTCTCTGTTAGACCGCTTGTGACACATTTCCTCACCGAACTCGGAATATAGGGGTTGACACAACACCTATCCACCCAGTGCGTTATTCTATTGGGTGGCTACGCTATTGAAACCTGCGCCAGCGTATCAGGAAGACTCCGCTCTACCGCTCACTTCGCCCGGTCGTCTCCGCTTCCATCACCATTTTGTCTTCGAAGTCCCGTTGAAAGCTTTCACACCTCGTTTCTTGAACGGATTCGTCCATGTCTATTCTTTTCGGACAAGGACACCAGTTGCAAGAACCGCGGAATGCGGGAAGCGGTTCGGTGTGCATTGGGCTTGGGCATGTGCGATGCAACTCATCTGCACGCATCGACGTATCGCCACAATTCGCTTCATAGACATTATCTGTCTTGGCCATCGTCGCCAGTTGCTTACGTAGTTCTTTTGGTACCTCTATCTGCGGTCTTTGGGCATTCACCTTATTTTAAACTGTTAGTGTGGTTATAAAATGGAAAGGCACAAAGCAAATGGCCGATAAAGCCAAAGATTTGGGAATTGTGGATTCATGACAAACCGAAACACAAAAGTCTTGACCAATTAAGTCCACTAACAAAACATGTGACAGAGCACGTGTTGGTTAATCGGTGGAATGCCAGGCGCATCATCCGACCACTGTAGTCGCACGGAGTGATAAAAGTAGGTGAGCTAACTAGGGCCAAGGTAGAAGAAGCCCTTGCAGCGAAGCCTTCTCTTTATGCATAATTCCGGTTGAATTGTTCTAATCGCGATCACTTCGGCCGTCCGTATGATTTGCTTCCTAAGACCTTTAGTGTACCGTGGCTGTACTACATAAAGTACTTGGAAGGCATCAGCGGTCCTAATTCGGTGTCCGCTTTTCACCAGATGTTCCAGATTGGAACTGTTGGGGCGACTGACGATGCATTCGCGCAAAGCCGCTGGGCAGTGCTCCGCAATGCGTTTAGACACGCCTGGTTGTGTGTCCCACGTACTTCGCATTACAGACGCAGGTAAACTGATATAAGACGTAAGATTGGGACTGAACCGGAAGTCTGTCTTTAATGCTTTGGGCTATAAAGGGAGCTGTTCCCGCAAGGATGTGTGGGCATACGGCCGGGAAGTTTCGAGCCACTGCACTGGAAATTCTTCTGGTCAACAGACCAAAGGCAACATCGCCTCTAAAGGGAACTGATGCGCTTGTCATTCCGCCGATCAACCAACACGTGCTCTGTCACATGTGTTGTTAGTGGACTTTATTGATCAAAACTTTTGGATTTCGAGTTGGTTCATCGCAATTAGATTCCAAGCCGCATAGGTAAGCTACCGCTCCGGAAACGCACCAGACGCGCGTTTCGTCCTATTGGGGCTCGTCAGTGGCGCGCATCCATCAGTCTCCTACTGCGGATCGAACCCATGACCGTTGGAGCCTAACGCCAACTAGCCAGCAGCTTATGCTACTGAGCCATGGGGGACGACAGCCGACTATTACGAATTGAAACCTACCTGCGATATAGCCCGACCCATCCTCCACTGCCGTGCAGGTTATTGCCCGTGCAGTAGACGGTGGTTGGCCATCACGGTCTGGTCTTCCGTTGCCAGCGCCGTGAATCCACACAGCAACTTTGAATATTGGTAGGGCTTAGATTTTTTATTAGTAATGGGTAGACGGATTTGGGTATAATTCGAGTTGGTTCATCGCAATTAGATTCCAAGTTGAATTTCTGTTTGTCGTGATTCCACTATTCCCACCTCTTTGGCTTCATCAGCCATTTATGTTCTACCTTTCCATTTCTAATCGTAAATGTCTGAGGAGATTTGTCGAAAAGAGTACTCTTCGCAAATTTGTGTTCTTGCATTTCCTTGGATATAATTTACGTATTAGTCTGGTTCAAAGTTTACTCTTTCCCTTTCGAGTCTGCGATACTACTCGTGTTTGTTGCGGTAACATTTCTCCCTGGCGCGCCACAATTTTACTCCGTACACATCACCTACTTTGACCACCAATCACATATGCTTACACTCTGATGATTACCAGTTTATTGCTTAACTCCGTGTCTCATCGCGTTCTGTATAATCTCCATCCACGCAAAAATTGTGCACACAACGGTTTTGTGGATGCCTTCAAAATATGTCGTGGAATGTCGTGATTCGTTCTTTTATTGATCATATTGTTAACATACCACCCGGTGGCCTGCGAGGGTATAAAGACTTTAACTAGCATTATGTGTGCTACCTTCCTTCCGTTTCGAAATTCCATACAAAATTTCATTCTTTCGACTGTTTTTGCACAGCTCTTTATTTGCTCTCGATTTGTCGAGCCACATCGATCAGAATCTCTTGTGGAAAAATGGAAATGGAATAGGTTTCACTTAAAACCGAAAAACTTGCAAAGTTTTAGAGCTTGCGTTTAATGAGCACATTTTATCTATTTGATGGCGCAGTATGTTTCATACCAACTTTTAGGCACATATGACCGGGCCCGAAAAAGAACGGCGTTTCATCCAATGGTGAATTTGTTTGTTTGTTTACCTCGCTAGCCTCAGTCCCCATCCGATTCTGGGCGGCTAAGTCACTGGTTTTGCTTTGTTCAGTTTTGGCTCCCAAATTATTTCATCCCCCTCGGCTTGGAATTTTTTCTGTTTTCGTAGAGGGTAGAAGTCACGATTAAACTCCACACGAAAATCTGCCTCTTTTTTGATAGTCTGTTCTTTTGTTTTTCTCACCCACTTTATCTACCTTGTATATTGCGTCTCACACATCGACTGGTGACTGAGGTTCATGACTATAATGCACTGGAACACCGATGTACACGTATGCGTTGATGGGATCCGTTTATGTTTATTGGATCTAAAATCCGCTACGTTTCAACCGCTCTTTTCTGTCAGTTAATTGTGCTGTTTTCTTTTGCTGATTCGATAGTTTGAATAATTTCATTTTCATTTTTACACACAGGTTTATTCTGAGTATTCGCTTCAGATTTAGTCTTTAATTTGGTTAATTCTCCTCCTTAAAGTCGTGTACACCATTTTTTCTGAGGGCACGTGGTTTTCAGTCTCACTGTCGTCTATAATCTCCGTCGCATCGAATGAACTACGTTTTACGTGCTTTCATCTTTTGAAACGGGTGTCATCTCCGTTTTCTGTCTACCATTGATATTTCTCATTGCCTGTCCACTGCGACTGGTTGGTTTTCCTCTCCTTGGGTCGCAGCTTGCACATAACGTGTTTGGTGTCTATTGCATTCCACTTCGTAGAACGCCTACAAGGACTGGCTTTGTGCTGAAGAGTTTCCGCTTTACTTCCCCCTGGACGTATGGGATCCGGTGGAATCCGAACGGTCTCCGCACCTCCCCCCTTTTGATAGCCTTCATGTTTCGCCGGTTTCCCCTACTCCTACGCTCACCACCACTCCCTTGTCCTCATCATCGTCATCATCCTTATCGGCCCCATATCGCCCCTCACACTCGCCTAGCTCGTCGCGTGGCGCTAGTCACGCATCTTCTTCTGTGATCCCCACTCGAAACAATCGATCCGTTCCACTGTCTCTGCCAAAGCTATCCCGTTCGGCCCGGTCCGGTCATACCACGTTCCATTTGGTTTCCCTCCCTCCTTGCCAGTCTTGGTGCACTGAGGTGGAGACATTGTGCCCACATTTTAACCCACAAGAACAATCTTCCAACGGTGGAGAACCTGCCTTTCTATGCCATGGTAAGTCTGCTTGATCACGCATTACGTTCCCAGTGGTCCCAAGGGCACTGTCGTTAACTGCACACCTATTGTTCATGCCTGATGGTATTACTGAATTAGTGACACCACAGCACCAACCCGTATGGTGCCACTAACTCAAACTAGCTTAGTCATGTAGTTAGCATGTTTGCTCACTGGTCGCGGTTTTAACCACAAGCATGGGCTCTAACCCCACAGGTGGATGGGATGCGCACTTATTTAATGAGTCCCAACACTATATGAGGCCGCCATTTTATGCTTTTTCTGACGTGCGATGTCTCTGTCTACATATGATAACTGATTCCATTTTTAGCAAGAAGCTCCTAAATACCTGCATTTTTATCCATCACAAATTTGCAACGTTGATAGACAGACCAAAGCAATGTCATAAGATATCGTAAACGGTCATGCGTTTGCGCAACCACAGTAGACTTAGAGCAACAGCCTGATGTCTTTGAATGCACAGCGGTGGGTGTTCGCGATCGATAATGATTGCCTCCAATAGCCTGTTGGTGTGGGGCCGCTGATTGCGTATTAGAGCTTTGAGCGAGTCATCAGGATTGACTCGGTGGCCGGTGGTCAGCAAGTGCCTTTTGGCTGCCGAGGCAGCTCAGTTCAACCGCTTCCGTCGTCACAGACCCCATTCAGCTTTGTACCCATTTGGGAATATGTCCATTGATTCTGACACTTAAACCTCGGTCAGTGCGCCCAACGTTACTATCCCCACATCTACAGGTTAACTTGTTTAGACGGTTGGACATGCAATGCCTCGTCGTCTATGTCTTAATCCAACACATAAGTATCGGTCTCGTCTAGGAGAGCAGCAGCAGCTACACCGCATTGTATGTTTTTTTAGTGAAGCTCTTCTACTTATCACGAACCATTTTCTGTTTCACCTTCGAAGCTACCAAAGTATGGGTTTGTTGGTTCCTTTCTTCGGCGCCGATGCATTGTCGGCACTTCTCCAACAAGCAGTAGTTCGGTTTTGTGTTTTATACACAAGTGACTGAGCCAGGAAATCAGCACAACCCTTGAGCACAATGGGAGCTGACTGGGTCAACTTTTTATACATGGTTACGCTGTTGACAGGAGCTAATAAGCCTTCAGGCAGCTGAAATTGGATGGATGCCTTATTGGGAATCGCATTAGTGCTGGAGCAGCGGATGTTTCCATTTAATTCTACCACCCCATAAAAATCCTTGGCATAACATTCAACTTCACTTACTTGTTTTGGCGCACACATTTTCTCCAGGCTGCCATTGTTTCAACTCCATTTTGGCCGTACCTATAAATAAATAAATGGCATATTTCTCGACGATGTGAGACAGTCCAACTATGTGATCTGATCAATGTGTACAGCAGGATCGCACAAAATAAGCAATTGTTCACGCTTTATACAATGGATCCAAAACGCATATTAAACTAATTGGCAGGTTTAAGGTATTGAAGAAATTGAGAAGCCGGAAACAATAATCTATATAGATTTAAACAAATGTTCAGGTAAAGTAATACGGCCATTCGTGGAATCGCCTCCAAGGGACCTGCTTCCATGCTATACCTGACCGCGTGCCGATGTGGCAAAGTAGCAAGTAAACCGTCACCTGTTTAACGCATGTTGTGCTCTTTTTAGGGCTGCTTTTACACATGCATTATCGACATTGAAGCCTCAGCCCGGTCTGTCATGCGGATCGTTCAATTATGGCACTTTTTATACGCCAGTCCGTTAGTGGCAATTTTTTTGCATAAGTATAGTGTTTTATAATATGGAAGTTTCAATTCATTACCTCAGGAGATCAGCCCAGTCGTGGCCAACAATGAAATAAGGAGTAATGTAAACTAAGAAATATAGTGTCCAACAAGTATACTATCGTTATTGCCAAAAATAAGCGTATATGTTTTAAAACAGGGTGAAAGTGGATCGAGCCGATTATATGATCAAATTGTGCGGTATGACAGCCGAAGACAGATAATCGCACGAGTTGTACAAAGGCAAAAAGTTAACTAAGGAATCCGATACCGCCAATCACTGAAATTTGATATATGTTTCTGAACTGTTAACTCCAGAAAAGCAGGGGAAATGGTTAGCGTTACAGAACAAATGTAGCAAGAGGGATCGCAGAACAACTTTTACGAAGTAGTCAATTTGTGGGGAGGATTACGGAGCTTGTTCCTGGTCCCATACCAGTAACTAGTTTTGTTCAAGATTCTAGATCCGAAGACAGTTGGTATGAATTAAGTTTGAAAAGAGTAAAACCACATAGGAACTTGCGTTAAAGAATAGCATGAGAAGCGCTTGTCACGGCTCATCCTAGATGATCAACTTTGCTCTGGTGCGTTTTTTGTACATGTTTCCAGTCGATGTTCTCCGGCATCATAAATGAGCCGGCCCTTCTTCATACAGCTTTCAATCATCAAGTTGAATTTTTAAGATCTATTTCACTTTGTCGGTTATCATTTTCTAGAACATGCAAAAATGGTCAATACATCTGTCTTTTGGCAGCTTATTCTATATGGAGTCATACCTAAGCAGATAGAAATTTCTGCTTAGGCTGGTCCTAAATTAGGTAAACCGACTATACATTTACTATCTCGCAGTTCATAATTAGTATTTTCCGGAACGTGCAATTGTTAGGTTGTAACATATGCTTTCCGCCACTCGGGTTTGTGGAGGAAGCACAGATTTAATTGCATTCTTCGTTACCACGGAGGTTCAAGATTTAATTCCTTGCACCTATCTTTGTATGAAAGGACGGCTGAATACCCGAAGGCGCATTGAAAGTTTTCACTGGCTCTCGAATCACACTTTCGCAGGTTGCTGAACGTAGCACAGCACTATTCAAAGGTCTGATAGTGATTTTGAAAGCATTTAGTCTGGTTTCTTTCAAGGTTAGCAGATGGCATATGAATCCGATCGTCTGCTTAGCCTTTTTCACGATATGATTTATATGTTCGCTAAAGTTTAACGAACTAAAATATCTCAAACCTAGGTTGCGGACAGACAGACTGATGGGAATGATATCTTCATGAAGCCTGAACGATTCTACTTCTACCTGGCATCCATACGCCAGAACACTACACTTCAATGTTGCAAAAGTCCTCTGCCACATGTCAACTTATCTCCCATTGGTTTTCAAGTAGCTTTGGATATTGTTAAGTTCAGTGGTATGCTGAGAACTTGAGAACGTGTAAACAACCTTGATCATCAGCAAACATATAATTCTTCCCAAAGTGCACAACAGAAACAAGGTCATTTAAATACAGTAGGAAGAGTAAGGGATCTAAGACACTGCGTGTACCACTCCACTGGTGACCAGACGAGCTGAAGAGATGTTACCATTCATAGTTACAACTTGCGACCGTGCTACTATGTATGGTAGGAGCCAAGAACGAAGCGGATTTGTCACATCGTACCTCTTGTGTGGGACTCTGTCAAACGCTTTTTGCATGTCAAGGAAGATGACAATGCAATGTAAACCTGAGTCAATTGCTTCAGTTAGATGGTTAAGGAAGTCAACTTGGCAGGTAAGACACGAGCAGGACTTCGGAAAGCCATGCTGTGAAGGTGAGAGAAGTTGATGCGATAATAGAAACGCAACCAAATACTTTTTAACAATTCTCTTTAGCATGCGTGAGAGAAGTGCAGTGTGGCTAATGGCTCGGTTGTTCCGGATGTCAATTTTTGCCCCGGACTTATTTCTCGGTATGACCATAGACCTTTTCCAACCTTCGGAATATCCACCAGACTGGAGAGACAAAGAGATATTCAATAACAGAAGAGGGATCTCATCTCCACCGGGTTTAACTAAAGTAGAACAGAACCATCGGGGCCGGGTCTGTAGGATGGTCGTAGGCAGGCAATCATGCGTTTTATCGTAGCGACAATAAGCTCGATCGCTGAGACATGTTCAGAGAAGTTATTTTAGGTTGACAATTCCAGCGCTTCTTTTTCAAGACAAGGATTCAGTAAAATATGGGCTTAAGGCTTCTGCATGATGATGTGGGAGGGTAGTTCAGTTTTGCTGCCTCTCCTTTCTCCTCTATACTACAGTCAGCATTTGACTTGTATTGCTGCTATTTACAGCTCGTTATTCTTCCTGTATGAGACGGATTTGGTGTCTCATGTCCTTCTAAATTATAAGGCGTTGGTATCTCAGTGATATGCTGAAGTCATGAGTACGTTCATATGTTCGAGTTAGCACTCACATTTTCCGCTTGTCCTTTGCGTTGATAACGTACTTAGAAGAGGCTCTCGTATTGTCACTGGAGGCAAGCATGCTTAAGCAATAGTCACATTGTCATCGATGTCAGACCATCGCAATGAGGCTGGACCTTATCGTGGTGCGATGGTTTGCGTGCCTCAGGGATCCATTGAGCTATGCTGGGTGGTGCTTTTTTTGCACCTTCAGAACCACTCATACCAGATTGGTCAATGGTTAGATACCAGACAAACTCAGCCTCCTGGTCATCCAGGTTGGCTCCTCATTTCATAAAACGGGCTCCTTAGTCCAGTGCCAAAACCCGCTGCCTTGCGGTAAGGTTTTTGAACCAAAGGCTTTGGTAGAGAACCATAATCGTTCTCCTGTCTAGGCCTGGGCAACCTGACAGTGTTCTGCCCACGCAATACAATGAAACTTTCCTACAACAATTTCTTGATGCTCTGGCCGTCACAGAGGGTACTAAACGGCGCCCTATCTGCTGCATCGAGCAGGGTCGATAGGGGTATGGATGCTACTGCTCAGGCCTTCCCGTCTTCTTATACCCCTTCTTGCGCTTCTTCATCCTTATCGTCCCGCTCCAACTTTACTTATATCCCCCATTTTCAATCCCCCAATTCTTGGCTCTCCCCCAGCTTACTTCAATAGTCGCTTGTCTTCTAATTTCAAATCACACACAGTCGCAGGGCCTCGCTCCAATCCAGTCGACAAGTCCATGTTCAACCAAGCGGACAACGTCAATTCATCCGTTTCCCTTTGGAGTCCTCG